CAATTATCATATCCATTATGCGAGTATAAAATCCATTCGAAACTATTCGTTGTTACAACATTATCATGTTGAAAAAAGAACATTAATATTCCACAAAGAATTACAAACATTATTCAGTATTAACTTGTCAAAAAGAATTCTATTTAGTATCAATTGGCGCAATTGATAATATACGTGTTAAATAAAATTTTAGCAGTATTTAACAATTTATCTTTATGTCATGATTAGTTATATTCAAAATAATATAGTAAATATCACGTCTGTCATTATAGACATAATTTCCGTCATATTAAACGTCACATAACTAAAATAAATATCGTTTTATCAATAGTAGAGGCATGCATCATCTCTATTTTTTAACGTTCAGTTGATCACATCTTGTATATATAAGGCATGGGCGATAAAAAAGGTTCTCACACTCTCAAAATTCATTTATTTAAATGTCAGAAAAAAAATCTATATTTGATAAGTTCTGAACGAGGGTGTGGATGTAGGTGATGAGAGATATTTCACTGATACCGACACCCATACCCCTTAAAAACTCGTTATCTGAACAAGAATTCATCCAAAATACTAAATTCGAAGACAATAAGAAAATCGACTGTTTGGCAATTTTACTATCGCGATACCTTTATTCCATTCGATCAATCTTCCACTATATAATAAAAGGCATACTTTGATAGAGAATTTCAAGAGCTATCGAATGGCATAATTACTTTTCTCAACAAGCCGTTTTCGAGTCTAAAAAGAGATGAAACATGATGGCTAACTTTTACTTTCCAGGGATATATTATTTTTTTTCATTGTGATAACTGAAATCTAATTTGATTTTTATATTTTATTTCCTAGAATAATTCTTGAATATCATAACAATTTACTAATATGATTTAAATATTTTTTAAACAACTTACATTTTCTTATGTTAAATTATTATTCGAAAATTCTTTTCATTTTTTCAAAATAAACAAAACAAGATATTGTTTTAAATTCAATAATTCTACAGATTAACTATTTTTTATAGGAGAAACAAATTCTATAAATTAGTTAAGATAATTTAATAATAAAAAATATCAACCTATTTTATAATATTAAATATACTATTGAAATTTATTTTTATTTTTTTCAAATATTTCATGTTTTATTATCATTTGATATGCATAGATGAACATGAAGATTGAATAAATTATTTTTCTCATATAAATATCATTAATATAGATTGTGCAAAGAAAGATGTGTTGTGAGAAATGGGATAATAATATTAACTAAGTATAATTTTTTTAATTCATTATATATATCACACTTATATTCGAAAAAAACTGCGATTGTATAAAAAATCATAGAATCTTTTATTACAAGACGATGGATTGAATATCTCGATTACAGATATTGTATACTATGACGATTTATGTGTATTTAAACGAACATATGCCATTGGCTTTGATTGCATCGCATTGTTAGTTTGAAAGTGTGATGTTTATATATATTGAACATTTACTTGCATTGGCATATAATTGTTTTTGGTGATAAAATGCGTCATTTTTGTTTGCTTCAGCTACACATTGTTAAAATGGCAAGTATGATAATGGTAAAAGTAACTCTCATTGTGTTAGTTTATATGTATTAAGAAACAAATGTTTTAATTATAAGACTTATAATGTATCCTTCAATTCTTTGGTTTTTACCAATCGTTGCAATAATATCAATCAGGATTTTGTAGAAACTGCTAAATACACTGTAGCTAAATATGGATGTGAATATTACAGTTACTCTACACCCTTAAAATTGATTTCTTGATAATCTTAAATTTAAAATAAAATAATTTGATAGAATATTTAAAATATGATTAGATTAATATATAAATAAATAATAATTATCTATTCTCTTTCATTTCTACAATAAAAATATTTTAAGATTTTTTCTATACTTAATTATAATCAAAAACCTTGAAAAGAACAATTATTAAAGATTTTATAGATATAGGCTTAAATATTAATTTTAGTAATTAAAATAATTCTTTATTATGAACTAAAAAGATTATATTTTCTTTTTCTATTTAAATTCTTACTAATCAATACATTCATTTTATTCTAATTATTTTTCATAATGAAAGTATTATTAAATACATGTTCAAAATAACAAAATTGTATATTGAAAGTTTTCTTTTCTAATTAAAATAAACTTTTCTAGAATTATTAATCGAATCAATCATTCTAATAGTTTGTTTTTTTTTATAAAATAAGATATTCTTTTTATATTTTATACATTTATTAAAATGATTTATGTTATTTTAGAATCAATTAAATTAATTCTGTTGAATATTTTCAATTCATTTTTTTAGTTTAATTATTTATTAAAAATAATTAAGAGGCTTTAGATTTTTATTTTATCAGAAATAAAAAATAAAATAGATTTCATCTTGTTATTAAATCATCCGAATATTTTCTGAAAAATTTTAATTATTTATGGTTTAATATTTAAAATTGATTGTAATTCTAGTATATGAAGTGTTTTATTGTATGATTCTAAAATCATTTTAGAATTTCAAATAAAATTAATTCCAGATATTATTTTAACTCATTAATCAATTAAAAAGAGTACGAGTGTTGATATGACAATACTATAACAAAAACTGAAATTCAGACTCTCACATCTCTCAAGATGGTTTAAGTTTATCTTCCATATGTACAATCAATAAGTTAACAGATACAAATCGATTTTTCACATCTTTTTTAATATGAATATCGCTAGAGAAGTTCTCGTGTAAATCAATCGGATATTTTAAAAATATTAGAAAAATTTAATATAAAGAAAAAAACATGCAAATGACTCAACACTCGTACTTGGAAAATACCCACTAGATAAGAAAAAAATTGATATGAAGTAAAAATCGATGTAAAAGAGATAAACAAGAACAGAAAAAAAATGAGAATACGAGGAGGTGATATGAAAGAGAAAAAAACACACAAGCATATATACAGAAAAAAAATGAAAATGGTATACTCAGGTTTTTAATAAAAATAAGTGTTTATATACATATGTGTGCAGACGGCTAGTCGACTATGTACAAATGTGCACATAGGTAAACGGGTATTTATACACAGGTAGGTATAACCATTTCATTGGTAAATATAAAGTTATATTATTATTTCATATGTATTTCTTTATTAATATAAACTAAATATCATATTGTTTAAATAATTTTATTTAACTCCATATTATGCAGTATTTTTAAAATAAAACTCGTAGTGTAATCGAGTGGATGCTTGATTCATCTTTTATATATCTTCTAACAGAGTCATTATGATGATATATATATATATATTATATTCTGGTATCGAAAACGATGAAAGGATTGCTTCATTTATTTTTCATTATATTTCGTTGAGGTATATTTAACACTCACAGGTTGGATAATATTCAGAGAACAGAAAAATGATAACAATAAAAATTTGCATTAAAATTAGTTCGTGATTTTGATTTTTAATCAATTTCACTGGTAATTTTGATGTAAGTTTGCATTTTAATTCATGAAAATGAGCTGTATAAAAAATAATGCCAGTTTCATCATCAAAAATGTCTTTTTGGTTATGTTTTCACACCCAAGTCCTCATTTTCTTATTTCCGTGAGTAGTCAATGCATCAATTAAATCTTTCTTGAATTATTTCCATTTATCAAATTCCTTCACAAAGAAAGAATACTTATCGTGATTCATTTTTCTGAATGAAGAATTCCGACGAATACAAATAAATCCTTAAATTTAAGTATATTACCAAAATAAACTTTCTTTCGAAGTAGATATTGAGAATGAATATGATAGACTCTTTAATATTATAAAAGTATTTATTTAATACTATAAATGAGATTATATTAAAACGATCCATCTGATTATAAAATTAACAATTTATTTGCTTTGATTTGTAAAAGTATTTATAAGCTCAATAAATAAAAGATTATACTGAGGATCTATTGATTTATCGTAATGATGGTAATGTTTTCAAAGTGCAAACTATCAGACTTTTCAAGTTTTGAAACGTCACAGTTTTTGAGATAATTAAACAACAAAAAACAATTTCTTTTTATAAGTAGTTGGCAGAGAAAATGACACAATCAAGAGAAAAGAAAAGTACTGATACTAGATGGTTTTCGTTTACACCATTGAAAGTAATGAAGTCTAACCATTTCTTTCGAGATATGCTTTGAAATTAATAGATCTTTATTTAATTTAATATTTTTCAATAATTGTATAACTTTACTACTTAATTTATATTTGATTTATATATAATAAAACAAAATTAACAAAATAAAATAATAATTACCTTTTTATCTATGATTTTTTATTTAATAATGACAGAACGTGCGATGAAACTCAAGTAGAATATACGCATTAAAAGTAGCATGTTGTGTGTATAGGCTATTTATTCTTTTTTAGATATTAATAGTTCATATTTGACACACAACGTAATATTTTTCTGCGTATTCATTATTATTTTTTAATACAAGAACGTACTTATACATCAATCAATAAATTATCAGTGTTACAACATCTCATTTAATCAGTAAGTTAAAAAAATACTGAGTTCTATGCATTTTTGTACAACCTGGAAAGCGATGACAATATCTAGTAAAAAATAAGACATTTATTTCTGTTTTCAGACTATCTATGTAGAAAAAGGTTCAACAAATTAGATTAAAATCGAATTAAAATAATGCCCTTTTAATTTATTTTTTATTAGAAAAAAATCAGTTTCTGACGCATTTTGAGGATGTGGGTGAATGGGTATTTGTTCCATGATTACTTATATGTACACCCAAATGAAGATAATACTGTCGTCAGAGAACTATAGCTCTTCTTGTCTTTAATTAGTCTACTCATTATAGGAAATCAGTAATCAACTAGCATAACAAATGGCATTCACACGAAGAGGACGCTTTGTGGACACTTATACTTCAAAACGGCAACAATATGATTGGAATCCAATATCTGGGTATAAAGATCGGGATGTTAAGTCATTAGAAGAAGCTGTAGAAAGCATCGTTCCATTTGTCGGCAACGTCATGGGGTATGCAGCGGAAGCTAAACAAAAATGCACAAAAAATACTCAGTTGACAATAAATGAATCGGCGGCAATCTATCTTTACACAATGGATACACTTTTCTATGAGAAACTCAACGAAGCTCTTCGATATGAAAATCCACCCGCGCTGAAACCATGGTTCGACTTTTTGAAATTGTTTTTCATTGCTCTTGCGAAATTACCTTCTCGTTCAACTACAGTGTGGCGAGGCGTTGCGAACATTATTGGCTCCAACTTTGGTAAAGATCATATATTCACTTGGTGGAATGTGACTTCATGTTCGTCGAGTGCTAGACTTGCTGGAATTTTTGCAAGTCAGCAGGGTACTCTGTTTTGTATTAATACTAGTTACGGCAAAGATATTGCTGAGTACTCATGGAACAAAGGCGAAGAAGAAATCATTCTTATGCCTGGAACTCGCTTGTGCGTCAAAGACACAACGTTTGATGTTAATGGTTTCTCCGTCGTTCATTTGAAAGAATGGTTCGTATGTGTGAGAAATATTACAGGGTTCGCAGCGATCCTTCTTTCTTCAGAGCATCCTTCGTATACTACAAAATCCTTTTTTCTTTCTTTTTTTAATTTTCATACAAACACCCACTTAGAATTATCGCAAAACATGAGGTATGGGTGTGGCTTATTTATCTATTAACCACACCCGTCGTAGTGATTACTTCTTGAAAATGTTAGTGCCAATCAATTTACTTGAGGATCTGAGTTCGACAGTCGCATCCTCTCCACTCCTTCACGTAGTTCAAGCGTTGCAAGATATAGTAGTATCCGCGTATCAATGACTATGACATTACAACTTTCTCTTCAATTACCATCTGTCTATTCTGTAGTTTTGAATCCATATCTTCTAGCACTTCGATTCCTGAAGGAAAACATGTCATGATATCCTATGATTCGAATAATCACGAAACTGTATCCAAAATTTATCATTATCTACAACTCGTACATATACCACTTTGGCTCAATGAACAAAAAGAAACGACCAATGATCTAAAGAAAAGGTAAGATCTTTTGCATTATTTTCTTTCTCTAAATACTGTAATTATACTGTTCTTTTTCACAGTTTGGCTGAAGGAGTAGAAAATGCTGCAGTCGTTTGTTGTTTCATGACTTCGGATTATGAAACATCTTACTTCTGCCAACTTGAATTGCAGTATGCACAGAAGCGGCAAAAACGAATCATCCCATGTATGCTCACTGATCTAAAAGTATGGAAACCTTCGAATTGGTTAGAGCCAATAACTAAGCACCTCGCACCGATCGACTTTCGCAACGTCTCTGAACCATCAGCCATGCAAAGAAAGGTGTGGGAACTTATTGATCGAATAGAAGATCAATCTCCAACACCTCAAGATATACCGCCACAAGTAGTTAACCGACCAAGCTATCTATTTCAACTGATTAAGTATGAATATATACGAAATAGTCGTATTGAACGTTTCATGAATCCAGCCAAATCATTTCCGATCGATCAAAGTTACATCAATTTGGCCATAGTAGAAACTAAAGATCAGCAAGAAAAAGAAAAGAAGCTTCGTGATTCTCAGCACAACGATGCGATTATAGAAGCATTTGAAAACATTCATGGTATCAAGACTCCAATAGATATTGAAAACATTTTCAAAACATGCAAGAATCAAACAAGGAATGTCCTCGTATTCGGCCGAGCTGGTATTGGAAAATCAACATTTTGTCAATACATCGCCTATCAATGGGCAACTGGTATGATTTGGCAGGAATATGAACTGATTGCTTTGATTCCATTGCGTTCATTGACAGCAGATCACTATCCTATATTACCAGCTGGCAGTAACTATTCTCTAATTGACGTTTTGAGAAAAGAGTGCTTTTCTTTCGATCTATATTTATCAGAAAAAGATGAAAAACAATTGCAAGAACAGTTTTACAACAGTCGCATTCTTTGGCTTTTAGATGGGTATGATGAAATCGTACAAAATGTACCTGCACATCTCAGAAGTTTATTGAATGATCAATTACTCAAGACCCCACATCATATCATAACATCTCGTCCATACATGAATACTTTATCGTATTCTGTACAATTAGAAATTACAGGCTTCACAGATGAAATATTTCCAAGTATGTCAAACAGTTCTTCGATCAAATTGGAAATGAAGCACAGAATTCATCCGCTGACGATGAAAAAATCTTAAGCTTTCTCAAACGTAATCTTAGGATTCATGGTATTGCACACATTCCCATTAATTTAGAGCTCATCTGTAGTGTTTGGAGTAATACAAATTGGGCAACAACAAAAACAATGACGATAACGATGCTGTACGATACATTGACCGAATGGATATTTCGTCGATATCTAGAAAGACAACGAGAAATCTCTACTGATTTATTATGTGAGAAGGAAGTTTATGAAAAATGCAAGAGCGAATTAGCATTTTTAGAACGTCTGGCTTTTCTTGCGATGCAAAAAAACATTATAATTCTGCATCCAGATCTACTGCAACAGGCACAAAATGACACTAACTGCTCATTAACCCAGAATCGACACTTACTTAATATTGGCCTACTAAAATCACTTACAAACCATCATGGCGTTGGGACACGAATCGAAGCAGGAAAAGATCATTACTTTGTACATCTTAGTTTTCAAGAATATTTTGCAGCACGGTACTTGGTCACTGCTCTCAACGGCAAAAAACCTCACAAAATGATCGAATTTATCCACGGTCATAAGTACGACCGACGCTTTGAATTAATGCTGAACTTTGCATCGGGTATTATCGCAAACAGCTACAGCATTGAATGTAACGACATATTCTGGGACACGATCTCAAGAGAGCCATTAGATAAGGTTGGCATAAGACACATGCGAATTGCCACTTCTTGCTTAGAAGAGGCACATCATAACGAAAAATTCCAACAATATAAGGAATTAATGATCTATATAACCAAGTATATAGAATATGCCGTGCACTCAAAGTATGAAGTGATACGCACCTACCTAAACGAGACTTTATGCAGAAGTCCCTCGATAGTAAACAAACCAGAATTAGTTGAAACTCTCACTACGCTTTTGCGAACCGACAACGAACGCACGTTGCAGAATGCCATCTCATTTATAATTGAACTACCACTTTATGATCCGCCGCGGCAGTTCATCCAGTTGCTAGTGACCGCACTAGAGAATCCCAGTGATTGTATACGAGAGAACACATGTAAACTCCTTGGTCAGCTAGGCGACAAAGCAGCAACGAACACCGTCATCGTAGCTCTGATTACCACATTGAGCGATGAGCATTTGATTGTCAGGCGAGAAGCTTGCGAAACCCTGAGTCATATAGCTGAGAAATCAACAAAAAACGACGTAATCGCAGCTCTGGTGGCTGCACTGGGTGGTACCAATAATACTCTCAGAAGTAAAGCATGTGAAGTACTCGGCCAGATGGGTGCAAAAGCAGCGACGAAAGAGGTGATTGCAGTGCTGATGACCGTACTAGGGGATACCGATAATATTGTCAGAGAGAGAGCATGTGAAGCTCTCGGCCATATGGGTGAAAAAGCAGGAACGAACGATGTGATCCCAGTGCTGGTGATGAAACTGACAGATGCGGGTTGGATTGTCAGAAGTACGGCATGTAAAGCTCTCGGCCAAATGGGTGAAAAGGCAGCGACGAAAGAGGTAATCGCAGCGTTGATGACCGCACTGACGGATGCGAATGATATTGTCAGGTGTGAAGCATATAAAGCTCTCGGTCGAATAAGTGAAAAGGCAGCAACGAACGAAGTGATACCACTGCTCGTGGCCGCACTGAGAGATCCGCATGATATTGTCAGAGTGAGAGCATGTGAAGCTCTCGGTCAGATGGGTGGGAAAACAGCAACAAACGACGTAACCGCAGCGCTGGTAACCGCACTGGGGGATACCAATAATATTGTCAGAAGTACGGCATGTGAAGTTCTCGGTCGAATGGGTGGAAAAGCAGCAACAAACGACGTAATCGAAGCGCTGATCATTACACTGGGTGATTCCGATAACATTGTGAGAAGTAAGACATGTAAAGTTCTTGGTCAGATGAGTGGAAAAGCAGCAACGAACGACGTAATCGCAGCTCTGGTGACTACAATGGGGGATACCGATAATTTTGTCAGAAGTATGGCATGTGAAGTTCTCGGCCAGATGGGTGAAAAAGCAGCAACAAATAGCGTACTCACAGCGCTGATCACCAAACTGGGGGATACCGATAATATTGTCAGAGAGAGAGCATGTGAAGCTCTCGGTCATATGGGTGTAAAAGCAGGAACGAACGACGTAATTACAGCACTGATGAAAGCATCATGTGATCGACATCAACATGTCAATCCCTATGCACTTAAAGCGCTCCGTCAGATATGTCAAACAGCAGCATTACACGACGTTATCCCGGTGCTGGTGACCGCATTGAGAGATGTTAATGAAGGGGTTAGAAGTAACGCATGTCAAGTTCTCGGCCAGATGGGCGAAAAAGCAGCAACGAGCGAAGTGATCGCAGGTCTAATTACCGTACTGAGATTTGCGGGTCGTTGTATCAGAGGAGAAGCATGCAAAACGCTCGGCCAGATGGGTGAAAAAGTAGCAACAGACGATGTACTCGCAGCGCTGGTGGCTGCATTGAGAGATGCGGATGATAATGTTAGACAGCGGGCATGTGTCGCTCTCTGTCGGATTTGTAAAAGAAGAGCAACAAACGACATAATTATAGCGCTGGCGGCGAGACTGAGGGATGCGAATTGGATTATCAGACTTAGCGCATGTGACGCTCTCGGTCAGATGAGTGTTAAAGCAGTAACGAATGATGTAATTGTATCGCTGGTGAACACACTAGGAGATGTGAATGAAGATGTCAGACAGAGGGCATCTGAAGCCCTCGGTCGCATCAGTGAAAAAGAAGTAACGAACTACATGATGGCCTTGTTGGTAGATGCATTAAAAGATGAGAACACCAGACAGAAGGCGTGTGAAGCTCTTGGTCGAATCGGTGGTAAAGCAGCAACAAGTAGCGTTATTAACGGACTATTATGTATCGATGATTATTATGCTTACGCAGCAGTGGAAAATATTCTGATATCTGCGTCCTCGTTGTCTAATATAGATTCGAATACAGTTTTGAAATTATTTGATTTCTGGAAGCAGCAGGAATGGCGGGTACGTGATATACCTATAGAAAAGATGATGGAAGCGTACGTGTGTACAAAAATTGCTCAATGGTGCCCTATTATTGGTTTGCATACCCTTCGTACCGCTTGTGGTGTTACTATTATTGGACAGAGGGTTATTGTTTACGGCAACTCTAATCCAATAGCGTTTGACATGCCGAGTTGTACACTTTGTGATGACTTAGCTGGCGTGTTTGCTAATCAAAGTGGTCTGGCTTTTTATCTCCCAACAAGTCCTAGAAACGCCGTTTTATCGTTTAACCCTTTGAGGTCCAAGTTATTTTTCTTCATCTTCAAAGGTTTCGTGCTCTTCTGCAGCATCGTTCTTTTTGTCAGAGTCATTTTGATCATCAGAGGATAACCCGCTTGCATCACTTTCTTGATTAGGATCCATTTATTCGGTTTCGAAACGATTTGTAATATAGAGAATTATCTAGAAAAATTCGATATTTCAATCTGAACATACGTTAATTTTCGTAGATAGAATATGATAGAAAATGCCCTCTCAAACACATTTCGAATCTTTCGTAATTCAAAGTTAATTTTCCGTCATACACAGTTCGGGAAGGTTCTAGAAAATTTAACTATCAAACATGTGTGGCAAAAATGCTACTACGGGACTCAAGGGGTTAATAAGTCATTGTAGCTTGTTTTGTACGAAAACGACAAAGAATACTTTATCAATCATTTTTTTTCTTTTTGGCAGCGTTATATATGTTAAATCACTACTGAAACGATTGTATGCGCGAATAAGATTTTTGTAATAAATGGCAAGAAATGTTTTTTACCACGTTTATGATCAATACATACTTGTCTAAATGCTCAAAATAGATTAAAAGTTTTACTGAATCTGTGGTTCTGTTAATTATTATTATTTTAAAGTGTATGTGAAAGATATTCAGATTGTTTGCAACTTCAATATATCTTTATTAGCTCACAAGTTATATTTGTAAAAATTATCTTCTATAGATTTACTTAAGTAGAACTTTGCGTAACATTTAAATTACATGAATCAAAATCATGTACTAATACGAAGATTAGGAGGTCGAATGAATATATAAGAAGAGTTTATGATATCTAATTGTGAATTATCACATTGAGATCTCAACGTTTCGATGACGTTCGAATGATAGTCATACGTTGTAACAAACAGAATATCGTTCGTCGGCTTCGACTGAATAGTGAAGGCGATTTATTCACGATTTTATCTTGTTATGAGAGTCGATGACAGCATCAATCGCATTCACACAAATCTATTATGATGGTGTATATCTTTTATGCAGCTCAATCAGAAAATCAATATATCTTTCACATTTTAAAGAAAAGTGTGAAATCAGCACAAAAAAAATAAAAGAAAATATTTTGTCGTATCGATTAAATAGTATATGGTTATAATATTATTTTTGAAAATAAAGAATATACTCCAAAATGTTTTACTTGATAATTATTTAGAATTTCATCGGCATTTAAAGATTCCATAAATTTATTCAATCGTAAAATACTATCAAACCTTGTTGGAATAAGATAAACCGTTAATGTTTTTAAATTTTGAAAATGTTTCAATATTTTAATCACATGATTTGCATGACATTGACATATTTGTTGATTATAACATAAATACAATGATATATATTGAACATTTGACCAATACATATAACTTATTTCTGGTAAATAATCCACATCTGAATGTATTTTTATATCTAAATATTGAATTTTTTTATTAAATATTTCCGCTACTTGATTATCTATTGAAATTAATTCTTTTGACGATAAAATTAAATGTTTTAAATTTGGTAATCGATACAAAATCCAATCTTTTACATTTTCATTATATTCACATGTTGTAACATTATCGAATGTAATATTATTTCTCATTTCATTCTTATTCGAATCGCATGAAGTAAATTTAATTAAATTTAATTTCGGCATTTCAATTTTCAGATCTTTTAAAAATTGAAAATTATATTTTTCTGTTAAACATAATTCAAGCGACTTAACATTAGAATACCATAATCGAGAATTCGTTTTAAAATTATTTGAAAATTCATAAAGATAATCAAAATGAAATGGTAATGTATAGAAATATTTCTCATGCACACCAAATCTCCAATTATGATCCAACCAAAATTGATTTTGAAATCCTAATAAAAAATTATCATTATCAATCGGACACTCATTTAATTTTGCATAGAGATGAAATTGTTTTAATTCAATCATTGTTTGTAAAAATTGTTGAAGTTTAATACTATTAAATGGTAATTCATCTATTGTTTCAATATTTAAATCAACTAAATCAAGTGATAACGAAATTAATGATGATGAAAATTGTTTAATACCATTCATTAATTGATTAAAATCAATTAAATCATGACCTAATTTTAAATTGAATTGTTTTAATTTAATATTAGTTCGGTAAATTATTCCTTGATATGTAATTGGTGGTGATGTTTGAATATTTAAATATTCTAAATTTGGTGTATAGGATAATAATTTAAATATATCATCAAAATCACTTAATATTAATGTTAATGAATGTAAATTAGAATTGATTTGTAAACTATTATAATGTGTGATAGATAATGATGAACGTTTAAATGGATATTCAAATATTTTTAATGAATTATTTGAATTGAATATTTTTCTAAATAAATAATTTTGATCAATTAAATCAAAATAATAGAATTGATCACAAAATAATTTCTTTTGTTTTAATTTAAATGTATGTAAATTATTAAATTGGTCACAGTCAAGTAAATATTTTAATTGTTCTTTTGGTAAACCATATGATGAAGGGATAATAATTGATTTTAAATTTGAAAAATATATTAAGGGAAATGAAAAATCAATGGTAGATATGATTAATGATTCGATTTTTGAACCTAGATATGAAAGAATAGGTTCCCATGTATCGAAATTTGCTGATGGCAATTCTAAATTAGTAAAATAACGTCGATGATGTATAAGAATATTATTAAATTGTTTATTGAAAGAAAATAATGTATAAATTATATCATTATTTGATAAATAATCAAATATTTCAAAGATTATTTCAATAGGAAAACGATCTAACCATGTTATTGAATTGATCTTTGATTGAAATTCCATACTAAAAAGAATGAATATTAATGTTGTCTTGTTATTATATATAGAAAAGGTGTTCTACCTATATATTTAGTCTAGGTATTTTTTTATCCTTGAATAAAAATGTCCTTGGTGAAAATCTTTCTTATCTTTTACGTTTATTTTGTACTCATAGAAAATTGTAATAATAATAATAAAGATTTGTTTTCAAGGATATTTGAATTTATTAAACATATTTATGATGAATTACAAGATATTGTGATAAATTTTAACAATTTAGTCATATTTTTAGATTTCTAATTATACAGAATATTATAATTCCCAGGGTGTGGGTGTGTGTGAGTTAAATTTTTGTCGAAAAACGTAACGAAATAAAAACTGAGAATTGAGGCAACTTTTCAGGATTTATCGATAAAATAGAAACTATTAAAAATAATAAAAATATTTACGTTTGTAGCGAGTTCCATAAGGACTCTTTCTACTCTGAATAATATATGAAAAATATGAAAAATATTGCAAGAACTATTTAATCTAGGACACCTGTTGATATAGAAGTTCCTATTTGGTAATTTATTGTAATAACTAGTGCTTTCGTTGATTCATTTGTATTGATTTATCAAGTAATTAATAATATCTTCTAATTTTTATTTTTATTTTTTTATTACTAATGACAATTTCTGACAGTTTTAAAGATCTAATTCGATATTATTGATGAAAAGAAAAAAAAAATTTATTTCTATTTTAACATTACGATAATTGAAATGTTGCTGCAATCATCAAATGATCTGAAGGATGTGTTTCATCAGGATACGATTCATTATCAGGATGATCTGGTAATTCTAAAACATTTTCAACAGTAAGATGACCAGTGAAGAAAATATAATCAAGTGTTTCACAAAATCTTGATGATTTCGGAGTATCAGCAAAATTTGTATAAATAGGTTCGGTTCCATTCTTTTCACAATAGGCACTCTTTAATACTTGTTCAATATTAGGTTGATAAGAAATTTCATACACGTTAGATTTTGGAAAATTATAACCATTATAATTTTTTTCGGTTAAAACTTGATAACAAACCTCTTGTGGTTTAATATTAAAATCACCGGCTAAAATAAAATCTTGTCCTGCTGCTTGTTCATACATTAAATCTTTGACAACTGAAGCATGAATTGCCATAACATCAGGTTCTTTATAAAGACAAGGCATATGATATGTTCCAATGAATAATGATCTACCGTCGATCATAATTTGTAAACAAATGAGTACATTGGATCTGAGCATGGCAGTTTCCCATGGATCAGATATATATAGTTTGTTTTTGCCCTTGATCCATTCATACCAGTTCCATATCCATGAAAATATGCTGGATGTTTGTTCACGAGATTTACACATTTTTTTAATATGATCTCCAACTTTAATCATCGAAATTTTATTGACATGTATCGACATAGGAACAGCAATACCTACACCCATATAATCATTGTATTGTTGACCATAAAGATTATGAGAAAATTTATAATTCAATTCGCTAAAAAATGACTCGAATTTTGATAATAATGGAAGAGAAAGTTCTTGTAAGCAAATAATCGTATTTTCATGATTAATAATCTCTTGTTTTAATTGTGATTGAATTAAATTCCATCGATAATCAGTTTTGAGATATTGAGGTTGACATTTCGTATAATAATCTTTTTCTTCAGCAAATATAGGTACTAAAATATTATATGATACAATACGAACAGTCATGATAGTATTGCAAAAGACGAATGTGTCTATAAGAAAATAAGAAAAAAAAATGTAAATGTTATTTAACGGAACATGTGTTATATATGGCTATTGTAAAGAACAGAAAGGCATAGAACAGAATGTATTAATGTATATTGAGTCATGAAATGTCGACGACGACAACAAATGACTCATAAAAACATGAGTAAACGATGCCAACACATTGAAATTTGCGTGTCGAAGAAAGACATGTAATTGCAAAACATTAAAAATAAAGAAACATCAGTATTCATACATGGTGTTTTGATATGAATATAAAAAGTTCTTTTCAAATATTTACATAGGTCAGTCAATAAGTTCTCGCACTTTCAAATTTTATTCATAGACAAAAACATTTTGCTTATCTTTTTACGGCAAATGTTCGAAGTAGTGCCCATGACGTTTTATACAAAGTTTCATCCTTTCAATCCATTTCTGAAATGCCTTTTGGTATTCGTGAATATGTAGTGAATTGAGCTCCTTGGATAACGTTTTAGCTAAGCTTGTAGCATCTGAATATGTATCAAGCCAACGTTTCAGATAATTGAACAACCAAAAATCTGAAGATGTAAGATCAGGTGAGTATGGTGAATGAGCTATAACTTTGCTTTTTTCTCCTTGAGAATAATTAAAATAGAGAACAATATTTTCCATACGTACTACTGCATTTTTCTTATGTAAATTTTTTACTAATATCTTCGAGTATCCACCACAATAAGTGATGTGATAACTGTGTCTAAGATGGCAACAACATAATCAATAATAATATGTAGATCATCATTCATCAGATCTTTAGCTCCGTCAATATTTTGTTGAGTGATGGCGGATAACGGACGACCACTCCGATGATTATCTTCCAAGGATTCTTGCTCATTCGAAAATCGTCGAATCCACGGACTATAACTGTACTATATGAAACTACATCTTGCCCATAAACAGCAGTTAAACCTAATAATCAACGAGTTTTTATATATGAGCGTACACACAGTTTATCTATCTGAAAACAGAGGTGTTCAGAAGATTCGTTAAAAATTCGCCGTGATAGATACTTATGAAACTTTGTATTGGTATTTTGATGCATAACAGATGTCGCTACCAGAATAGGCCAACATGAAGAATAAAATCAATGAGGATGAAACTTTAGACTACTGTTGCGAGAACTTTTTGACGCCCCTATGTATAAAACTATTTAATTATTGTTGATGAGATGTTCTTCTTAATATGATATTTATGTTAATGTTTTACGTTTTTGTATCAATTTTCGTTTCTATGTTGAAATTTGTTATATTATTATACATCTATTCTAATAAATATTTGACTATTCCTTCAGATAATCCTACGAAAATTTTAACAAAGCTACTTTAACTCAAAATCTTTATCTATTATTACATTTCGAAGACAGTATAATCAGACCAAAGACAAATAGTATAGAACTTATTGATGTTAAGAATCGTAAGCGATATTCATTATGAAAGGTAAGAGTATTTTTTATAGCCATAAGCCTATGAAAACAGAATCTATCTCAGATGAAATCAAATTCTGAAATTGATGACAAATTGTGAATAAATTCTTTTTTTTTTCAAAGCTATTCGATAAATTCCGAAATATACCAAAAAATGGAATAAATCTCGAAAAAAACAAATCCCAATAAATCCATAAATTCATTGATAAAATGTAACAATTCCCATAGCACAAATAAAGCCTAGTATTTATTTAAAAAATCCGAATAAATCTCGAAAAAAGAAGTTCTAGAAGCTGCTAAAGAAGAAAACTAAAGAGAGCAACGCATTTGGAAAGAATTGCATGCAAGAAAACGATCGATACATATATCAATGATGAAGAACAGAAAAAAAAGAATAAGAGAGAAAAGTAGATAAAAGTGACAATCAATAACACACAACAGAAAGAAGAGAGAAACAATGACTAAATTCTGTGCTGATGACATGATAGTCTTTTCAAAGAATCGAAGATTAAATATTCTAATACCTTGCAAATCTTAGACTAATCAAGAAAATTACACTCCTGTCATCATCATTCATATACTTCTGCACTACTCAATGCGAAACGAGCAATACCCCATCCACCAGCAACTAATGCATTTCCGTTTGTCAATATGGATGCTGTATGATAAAATCGTAAAGTGCTCATGGCGTTAGTAGTTGTCCAGAGTCCTGTGAATGGATTGTACACTTCAGAACTATTCAATGCGGAACTAGTACCAAAAAGTCCACCAGCAACTAAGACATTTCCATTTCCCAGTGTGACTTGTGTGTGACGTGTTCGTGCAGTGTTCATGGCCTGAGCAAGTATCCACAGTCCTGTGAATGAATTGTATACTTCTGCACTACTCAACTGGTTACGACCATCAGCAGTTCCACCAACAACGAAGACATTTCCGTTTGTCAATATGGATGCTCCATGATCATATCGTTCATGGCTCATGTAGTCAGTAATTGTCCACAGTTCTGTGGATGGATTGTACACTTCGGCAGTATTCAATGGGCCAAGTTTACTGAGTCCACCAGCAACTAAGACATTTCCGTTTGGCAATATGGTTGCTGTGTGATATTTTCGTCCAGTGCTCATGGCGTTAGTAGTTGTCCAGAGTCCTGTGGATGGATTGTACACTTCGGCACTGCTCAATGCGATAAGATCATCAGCGGTTCCACCAGCAACTAAGACATTTCCGTTTGTCAATATGGATGCTGTGTGATGCACTCGTGCAGTGTTCATAGGCTCAGTAGTTATCCCGAATCCTGTGGATGGATTGTACACTTCGGCAGTATTCGAGATACCACGATCCCGTTCCCATCCACCAACAACTAAAACATTTCCATTTGTCAATATGGATGCTGTGTGATAAAATCGTCCAGTACTCATGGGCTCAATAGTTGTCCAGAGTCCTGTCGATGGATCGTACACTTCGACACTACTCAACACCCCAGCACCACTGGTTCCACCAGCAACTAAGACATCTCCATTTCCCAATGTGGATGTTGTGTGATAAAACCGTGCAGTGTTCATACTACCAGTAAGTTTCCACACTAGAAAAGAACATTCAAATGTAGCAACCATTTGGTTTACATTTGAAGTCTTGATATGAATCTTTTGCGGAACAATTTTTGTCATAGATTATAATTTATCATGTGATTTTAATCTAAAAAATTTTCACGAGCAATTCTACCAAGATTTTGTCAAGAAATAGCTGAAATGTTTCTAGTCGATTATATTTTTCATATGTCAAAATAGTCCGATTTTGATCAAAACACTTTTCACTAAGCCAATAATTTTCTCAAAAACTGTTTCGAAACTTACTGCAGTAACTCTTTCAGCACTTTTCTCGATAATTATTTCGATAACTTTCGACAAAAATTCTAGAGAACTCTCTGCAAAACCTTTTTGTCAGCAGTTTCGACGACTCCCTCGACTAGTTTTCCCAGAATCATATCAGATCGGGCTGAATCTGATTGTTGGAACATCTGACCCGAGATAAAGAAATATAATGAAAAATGGTCTCCTTCTGATCTATAATTACTATTTTTCTTTCAGATCTTACGTGTTCACCCTAGGAAAAGATAAGGTATGGGTAGATCTCGAATTTTTGCATTCCACAATATTTTTTCTGAAAATTATCATTGAATCAGTGTGGTACCTGGTGACAAACAAGCTGTTTAGGCAGAATGTGGAAGCTGACCTTTTACGAAGTAGGAGAGCTTGAGAGAAAGATACTCTTATAGTGACATCCAGAATTCATACCTCTGAGTCTATAACTATATTCATCTGTGGACGATCTAAAAGAAGATTTCTTTTTCTAAGCTTCGCATAGTGATTTCTATGAGCAAAAAGTGCCTCAAAGGGAACTATCAAGAAAATCATCCAACAAACTGTGATCAGGAACCATTTCTAATTTGAATTTTAGAGTGGATGTGCGTGTGGGTGTGAATATGGGTATAAGAGAAGATGAAACACACAAATCTTCACTCACACTTACACCCAGATAGTCCTATGATAGCTAACGCCACTAAACTTTCCATGATACTTCCCTAGATCCAGTAAAAGGCCGAGAGGTGGTTGGGAATACTGACAGGGTTAGGAGAGGGTGCCTGAGTGAAATTTCACCCACGTGATTATGTGATAGCTAAAATCATCAAGCTTTCCATGACACTTCGTTATGTACGGAAAAATTCGAGAGGGTGAAAGACGGAAGATGGTTGAAATTTAACTGAATTTCTTCTAACTTATTTGATCGATCTTTAGAGTATCCATCTATTACCACGTTTTCGCACTGGTCTGGTTGTGTTACACAGAAGTGAGGATGATTGAGGAGTGAGATAATCACCCGAACACAATATTTATTGGATTATCGTGCTTTATCGTGGATGTGTGTGTATTCGCGATAGATAAAACTTTAACCAGAAATCTAAACCTTTTTATGTCCGAAATGAGGTGGAGCGGGAATTATAAGATCAAAGGTGGATTTAGAGTGCTCCATAGCCTGAGTTGTTTATTTAAGATATGTATGGTGGGATATGTTGTAGTCATAGATTGAAAATTTTAAGCACAACCTCTCTGCATTTTCTGTTGTTTTCTGGCATATGAAGTTTTCGGTCTGTAAGGTTCTGAACCAACTTCGGGTATCTTCGCTAGTTAATAATAACAGAAGGAAGTAATTGTTCTATAAAACATTAAAAAACATTCGAATTTTCTTTCCTTTTCTTTCGATCTAAAAGTTATTTCTTAAAAATAAAATATTTTGGTTTCGTCACATATAAACTCCTAGAATGTAGGTGTTGCTGTAGATGAATGAACTATGAATTCGATAATACATTCTCACTCACCTTTCAGTGAGCCCTTCAATCTTATTCTATACAACGATAAAATCTGACTGTCGATCATCGAAGATTAAACTATATTATGTCATTATTCGAATAAAACATCTAAGATTAAATAAGAAAAACTAAATTTAACAATAATTTTTCTTTTATGAATTCTTTGAAATAAGAAATGAACTAAGTTTAATAAAATCATACCACTTGTCGTTGTTGTTGACAACAATTCACTTGTTGTTGTTGTTGTCAACAACTCACTTGTTGTTGCTGTTGTTGTCAACAACTCACTTGTTGTTGTTGTTGTTGTTTCTTCCCTCTTTGCTTTGTTCATTGTAGCAGTAATTGTTGCAATAGTTATAATTACAACAGATAAAATAATGAAAAACATTATCCAAATTAATTTTCGCTTTTGAAAATGTTCATGTCTAAAATAGTAAGTTCTTTTGATAATTTATTGTAATTCATAATATATACATACAATCTTCGTAATCGTGTTGTATTAGAATTAACTTCAACAGACTAAAATATTGAAAAAGAAAATAAGATTATTTTTTTTCTTTCCATTTAATACATTACTTCATCAGGTCCAACTCTGTTATTCATGTTTATAGTTGTTGTTCTATCCAAACTTGAATATTGTTATAATCTAAAATCAAGGAAAAAAAAAAACTTTTTTCTTCAATGATCATCGATGAATATTGATATAACTACAGCAAACATAAGTTATTTCTCATTGACTATTGTTTTTTGTATTTATGATATATGATATATGATATATGATATGTCTTATTAATTAATTGATTTAAATCAGAACAAAATATTGTTAAAATAGAGTTTTGATTTATTCTTATGTGACATGATTAAAAATCATGTGAAAATGAAATAAATTTCTCTGCTTCTTCTTAATCAAAGAAAAACAAATCCTACGTCACTAGAACCATTAATCATATTTCCGTTTCTCAAAATTAATTTTGAATAAAATATTGTCAGGTGTGAGTTGCCATTTTTTATTAATATGAGAACACTATGGAATAATAAATAATATTTATTATGATTATTTGCAAAAGTAAAAAAGAAGAGAAAGTCAGGGAATGACATAAAATACTGCATAATACACAATGAGAAAGATTAAAAAGAATAGAGTATTTATTGTTTGGAAGCAGCTATTATAACTTTGCACACTATTATTTGATTTTTTTGAGTTAGATATATGTAAATAGCGACAAAATATAAACTTATTTGCTTAACTGGTGTACATAAAAAAACGTATCCTTCATTAGAACTCACAGGGAGAGAAATATTCATATTGGAAACAATGATACTATAGACAGAATGAATGCATACAGTAGAGTAGATTTCCTGAATACCAACACTAAAAAAGTAAGTTGTCTTATTTGATTCATTTCACAGCTCTTTTATATTAGATTGAAAATAATTTTATACATGCATAGCTTTTAGAGCCTCATCTTTCAAATAGTAGGGCAGGCGCAAAACTTTGGCTCATAGCTTACACTCATTATTTTCTTGCGTAAAATATATGTGAATTTCACAAAATATCGTCGATTTGAAACAGACTATAAACCTAATCAAGCTATTAACCCTTGTAGTACTAAGAGCGTTTATATCTGACTCCCTTCTCAACAATCTGAAAAATCAGCAGAAATAACTGCAGTTTCTTGATTTCTGAAGACTATTGATGTGTCCTGCGAGTCGAATTATAGCAGTATCTAGCTGCTGGGACACTCTACTCGCCTTCACAAGGCAGGAAACTGCAGATATTTCAACTGGTTTTTCAGATATTTTAGAAGGGGGTTAAAAATTATAATCTAGATGCATTCATGTGTAAACCTATCAATAAAGCGTTACGGACTGAAGATATTAATGGATTGTATAATTTCGATGTTATATTGCACATTTAAGTGAGTACTTGACTAATTCGACTTTTAATATAAATGAAACGAAGAGAGAAATCATTAGCGCACTTCATACCTGTAAAAATAATTTTATCCATTTATCATTTATATAAATGTGATAAATGGAGACTTTATTACAAAGTTTAACAGAAAACAAAAAAACATGCTATTTATTATTTTGGATCAATCATTGACTTAATAAATCAAAATATTTCTAATAATCTTAGGAAAACTAAAATCATGCTTTTCTCCCAGATTTATCAATCATAAAAGATTAGAATAAGTAAAGAATACACACGCAGGTGTTTAACGTATAGAAAAAAAAAGTACGAGAATGATTTAGACAAAATTATAAATCATATTTTGAACTTTGATGGCGTTCAACAAAGACTACATAAGTATGAATACAAAATATTCTCAAATTAAAACCAAATGTTATCACTTACTGAGACAAAGATACATGTATTGATATGAAAATATTCACTGATCCTAATTCTGAGAATTATTGGAATTGGTATTCATCATCTTAGTACTTATACAGTTGTTCAGCGGGTTCATATTTTTATATACTCTTTTTCATCAAACTTCAAGATCCTATTTCTTTCGTATTTGAATATCTCATTTTTTGAGAGAAACTTTTAATTCATCTTTCAATATGCTTTTAGAAAACTCTTGATTTCGATTGAATTAATATCTTTCTTTTTATCATAAAATCTTTGAAATTGATTGATATTATTTGAACAAGAAATATTTTTATATATTTCTCATTCATTTTATTTTATATTACTAGAGAAGAGAGATTAAAAAATTTCTCGTTACAACCGATTAATTTATGTTGAAAATATTTCTTGAGTATTTTAAAAGTTAAACATTTTTTTATTTTATTTAAAAATTCTTTGGTTTTATAATATGATTTGCTAATGATAACTATTCATAATGAATCTAAAAGTCAATAATTAATCTTTACTAGATTGTGCTCACTAAATAAGTATAAGAATTCTTCATTTTAACTAACGACTTTAGTGGAATAGGAGGAAAATTTTCTTAAAAACAAGCCTATGAATTGTTCTTTGCTCTCGACCATAAAAAAACTGTATCAGTTGCGTCATTTTAAAACACAATTATAGGCCAATTCCTGCTGATAAGAGAGAAAAGATATTTAATCACGTATAATTTCTAAAGTAATAAATGGATGTGGGTGTTGATATAATTTTCATGTATACCAGATATTCAGATCTACGCTCATACCCTCCCGTTATCTATTTCTTAAAGACATCACAATACCAATGAAAGAGTTTTTAGTCAGCTCGATTTTCATCTATATTTAAATGAAGTGACTTGAAAATAGAAGCCAATCTCAAAGAAATAATAAAAAACAAAACATGATTGATGATTAATTTCATGAGCGTGTTATTTTAATGTCGTTTCATAATAAATTTTCTTTCATTGATCATTTATATGTTATTTATCTACACATATAAAAGTACGTCATCAATTGCGCATGAGAATTTATTAGCACGACATAACTACGTCATTCGTATATGCTCATATAAATTATATTCATCATCAAACCGTTAGCAGCTTTTTTCTCATCCCTTATCTTTTTCCGGTGCCTGTCTTTCTATGATTTTATATTGTATTCAATTTCTTCTTGTTTTGTTCTGTTTTTTATACTTCATTCAGAATCCATTCGACCATTTTCAGAATGTTTATCTTTTTCTCCTTTTGTATAATATAACAAAGCTTGTGTTTTTTTAACAGAAATGTGCATCTTTATCAAATCTATGTTATTAAAACATAAAAGACATTGATCAATGTCTTTTTGTTCATGTTTTTGCTAAATAAAATAAAATTCATGCATTTATCATCAATGACGAGTGATGTTCACTGTAGACAGCTCATTTCTGTGAAAAACATCTCTACTGGATGAATAATTTTCTGAATAAGATAGTAGTTTCACTCATACTCGTGCTCGTGCTTGATTCTATAGATCTTAGATAATGAAAGAGTATGAAAATGGAGTTTTCTTCCAACATAATTTCTTTTTACTCCGGGACAAAAAGCAGATCCTATGGATTTCGGCAGATCCTGAAGAGTCTCAAGGATCCATTTGGAGAGTATGGAAGTGGATAAGTGTGAGGATGTAGGAGTAGTCATCCTATACCAAAATGTTGGATATTACGAAAGCAGCAGCGCTCCAAAATCAATTCTATCTAATTCCAAGAATACGATCGTCATACAACATAAGAGGCCGAGCGAATGACTTTTCGTACCACTCTTGACGAAGGGTGGGTGTGGGTGAGTGTAGATGCGGATTTGGGTGTGTGCGTGGGTATGTCTTATTTATTGCACCTACACCTACACCGACATCCACACCCATATCTATACCCAAACCTACACCCACACCCTCAGTTGTCTAGTGGCTACAATACAAAAAAGATTTTCAAGATCGGAGTCGGAGTTGGAGTCGGAGTCGGAATAAAAAAAACACGACTCCGCAGTTCTCTAATCCACACCTGCACACCCACACTTATACCCACGCCAACCTTCACCCATAACCTCCCACACTCACACTCTCAAGATCATCCAACAAGCAATTATCTTGGGTGTGGGTCGATGTGGATGGCTGTGGGGTGTGGGGTGGGTGTGGGTCGATGTGGATGTGGATGGCTGTGGGGTGTGGGTGGGTGTGGGTGGGTGTGGGTCGATGTGGATGGGTGTGGGGTGTGAAGGGTGTGGGTGTGGGTGTTTGTATGAGTGTGGGTGGTGTGAGAGTGGGTGTGAGTATCAGTAAAAAAAAATCCGCACCCTCACGCCCACCCACCCTACACCGTCACCCTCACACAGTAAGTAACGGTTCCTTGACGTCAACAACTTTTGTTTTTCTTCTATCTACAACAAATATTTTCTATACAATATTGCTGCGTGTGATATATTCAGCTTATTGAAGATGCTGGAGACATGAGAGTTATTCATATTCTAACTCAACATATATCTACCAATCTCAACTGTAAAATTTTATTAACATATTATAACTTTCCTAATAAATATTCCATACTGAAAATTTGTCTTCAAAGTGTTAAAATTCTCTGATCGGAATTTTACTCGAGAAGGCTAGATGGTAGTATATAGTTTTATAAACAATGATTTTGCATATCGTCCAGCCTTTGTAGTCGTCCTATATTTCCTATATATGAGAAAAAGTAAAGATTGTTGGCAGAAATCAAAGTATTATATTTAGATAATACTTTGGAACATATTCACGTAGTCGTAGAATCTACAAACATGAACAACAACTGCACTCTTAAAAAATTGGTGTTTCACCAAACCTGAAAGATTTTCCATTCTTCTATAAGACGGCTTTTAGTGCAGCAAAATAAAAAAAAGATACGGGTATGAGTGTGAGTTTGGTTGTGGATTTGGGTGTGACCATGGGTATGGATGTGCGTGTGGGCGTGGGTGTGAGTGTAAGTGTGAGCATGGGCCTGGGTGGTTGCATGTGCGGGTGTGAGTGTAGGTGTGGGTATCAGACTTGAATCGATGTTCACACCTACATCCACTGACCTACACCCACACCCATATTCACACCCACTGACCTACATCCACATCCACCCGCACCCACTGACCCACACCCTCACCCACCCTCGAATTGCATATATATTTGTTAATTCATCAGTAGTATTCTTGATGATTACTCTGCTTTTATTTGCAGAACCATTGCGAACATCTATTAAAAGCAAAATTCATGGACGACCAAGTACTGTAGTATTAGCGATTACATGAATGATTGGATTTTTCGGAAAATATCAAAATTTATGTAATGTTGTATTATAATATTAACATTGTACGAAAAAATATATATGCCCGAATTGAATTTTTGCAATCTGTTCATAAGTGTAAAATGACAAAAGTATTATTTTTCATTTTATTTATGTTATAAGATTCGTGAAGGAAGAACAAATGTATTTCTATATTCTCAGAGTATTAAAAACAGATAACAATGCTAAAAAATGCCGATGTATATAACTACTTGATTTTTTTGTATTGATTTTGCCATTTGGTAGTTGATGATATACATGTATAATCGAAAGGATATTTCTTTTAATTTAGAGATAGAGTAAAATTTCGATTTTTACTTATTCGATTGTTTATTAATTTACTTCGTTTGTCATCATAACGATTTAAGGGGAAGTCAATCTGCCGACGTTATAGTATTAATACACTATCATTAATTTTAGTTGATGACAGGCGAATTTATACATGTGTCTATATCAGAGACCGTCACTAGACAACTTTTTTTGCTCTGTCCTGCAAAGGACTCATAAAACTTTCGTTATCAGTGAATGAAGATGTGGAGGTTAATGCTACTTCCGTTCTACAGTTTTTCATATTATTCCATAACTAAATTCAATCTGGTAATGAGAATCGTTTCCTTATTTCATTTTCAGTTTATCAGTAATATCTTTTCTGAAAAAGATAAATTATGTCAATTGACTGAAGTTGACATTTATGTTATCTTATTTATCGCCGTCTTACAACTACCACATTTGATTAACATTTAATGCTTTCTATTGAAGAATATTTTTAGATGACTATGAAAATTTGAGAGTGTGGGTTTGAATAAAATAGAATATCTACACCCAGCCTATTTCTTTACAATTTTTATAGTATGTAGTAAGTTAAATATATGTTAAAAGAAAACTACGAAAAGCTTTGCGTACAATATTTTATAATAGATAAGAAAAAAGTATTTTCTGATGCAGTGTTTTTGATTTGACAAATTGAAGATTTATGAAAACGAAATTTTCATAAAAAATTATTGATGAATAAAAGTACTTGTCTAAGGTTTTTTTAGTTTGCAACATTCACATCTGTTTAAAAGAATCTTTACGACAGCAGGATACTTATAGGTAGCGATTATATCTTGATAATTATCATTGTCAAAATCACCGACAGCGATATCACCTATATGTTCATTAACAATAAGCGAAAGTATTGGTTGTCGTTCAAAATTGCCATTTTCCTGTCCAAGCAAGCCAAATATAGCGCTATCACGACGATAACTAATGATGTCTGCATGATCATCACAATTATAGTCACTACCAAAATATATAGTTTCTTGCGCTTCTGAATACGTCTTAATAGGTGAAATATCGCTAATGTTAAACCATTTTGGTAGTTCGAAAGCTCCATTACCAAATCCAGCCATTAGGCCAATAAGATTCTTTTGAGAGTTGTAGCAAAGAAAATCTATTCGAGTGTCACTATTGAAATCATCAGCTAAGATACGGCATTTAGAGAAAAGAGGTCCACTGTAATACCACTTCTGTACAAAAGTGCCATCACCACGTCCAAAATATATACTAATAATCGTAGAGTTCTCATTTGTGACAGCGATGTCTAATTGACCGTCATCGTTAAAGTCAACAATAGCAAAGGAATCTGATACATGACTAGGTACTGCTGATAACATTGTATGCATTGAGAAACTTCCATTACCATACCCAACAAAAATAATAATACTAGGCGGAAAAATATCGCCAACAACAATATCTAAGTATTTGTCACCATTAAAATCAGCTACAGAAATATCTGTTAGAATATTGTCCCCTTCTATTCGGAGTATTGTGTTTAGTTCAAACATCTTATTATCATTTGAAAGCAAAATATACACTTTCTTTCCTCCGTCACGATAGGTAATGGCGAGATCAGATCGATTGTCATTGTTAAAATCACCAACAGCAATATGTGCTGGTGGGTCAAGTAGTTTTGTTGAAAATGTTTTTTCTGCTTTAAAACTCCCATAGCCATTTCCAAACAATACAATTATTTGGCCTGACGCTTGACAATAAAATGCAAAATCCAATTGATTGTCGCCGTTAAAATCAGCGACAAAGGGTCTACCTGGCCGAGAACACGGATGAGATATATTGGTCAATATTGATTGAAAGTCTAATTGACAAATTGATTCTAATGAAAAGAAAATAAGAAATTATTTTCAGGATATAAATTACATATATCTGAGAAAGAACTTATGTGAACTAAATTTACATTGAGTATTAGTATCGTGTGTTTACGAACTACTATTGATAACTATCGATCTACCTCTAGAATCATTCTCCGAATATTATAGATATAGTATGCACAATTACTCAATTCTTTCCGATTGGCTCAATTGTGAATATGAGTGAAAATATCACAGATACATATATTAAAAATGAAATAGTCGAAAAGGTAAAGTAAGTTAAATTCTATCACATCAGACAAACATCAGTTTCATAAAGCTATTCTTAACACTAGCTCTTTTATATATAAATTTATGAAATTTACTAACTCTCTTTCAGTCTCTTCCTATTACATTTTCAAACAGTCAAATTCTACGAAGACACATCAAATTTTGTAATGTTCTCAAGAAAAATATTGTCATAATTGTAGTGTTAGATAAACATCTATATTACATGATATATGTATTTGATCTTGTTTCTTGTCTTACCTTTAGTTTTAGTATAGAAAATAATGGTATGTTGAAGAAACAATTTAATCTTGATCAATCCATTGATCTAGATCTTTCTATTGTCTTTATTGTGAAGGGAAAAACCTAGGTTTGCTCTCAATGGATCATCTACTCAACAAGAACACTTTAGAAAAATCTCTTTTAATATTTATGTTATTCTCTCATTTATTTTTTACAGGTATTAGTATAGTCTTTATCAATCATATACACTGTTCGATCTGAATATAATTTGAGAAGATTGATACATTTATTAAATCAATGTAAAATATTGATGAATAGCAGTCAGCAAAATGATTGGAAAACTTTCTAAAGACTTCATATATATTTCATCACTTTGATAGAACTCCTAGATTTATTTGTTTATTCAAAGCTATCATAGAAGAAAATAAAAATAGTTTTGGTTTACTAACTTTTCATAGTTGAAGTTATTGGCATTGGCATTGTCGTTGTCGTTGTCGTCGTGTTTGTGCTGATACTGGTTGCCGTGCTTGCCATGGGAGCTGTTAAAAAGATATTTAACCCAAGTTCAACGGTGTGGGTGTGTGTAGGGGTGGATGAGGGTGTGTTTGAGAAGACTCCTCTATAACTACCCACAACCATCCCACACCCACACTTTCAATTTTAATCTTACCTTCTCGATTGATATAGATAGAAAATATAGTGAGGCCAATTATGATAAATAATAGTAGTATACACACTGATATAACTTTGTAAGAGCATTGAAATTTTGAGATCAACGTTGTTCTAAGGAAAAAAAGTATCGATTATAAATTAGTGATAGAATATTTACTTTGAATTATTTTTCTAGACTTATTTTACTATTGAATAGTTTGACACACTTAATCAGATATTTTAGCTATAACTTTGCTTGTGAGATCATTTTTTGATATTATTTATGAACTAAATTATGGCGCGTATACAAAGTAACCAGTCTTTGAAAAGAAACTACTAAATACTTCATCTAAATCCTATAACTCAGATTATGGATAACATCGAAAATTACCTCGAATACAAGATTATAGTTAAAATAAGATCTACAACTATAAACAAAACATTTGATTAAATATGTCAAATTAGTCAACAATAAAAATGTTTACAATAGTAACTATCGTCATTTCTATTGTAGATCAAATCAATATAAAACACACATACCGTAATGTTCTATTTGTTGGTATTGGCTTTGGATCTATATCGGCATTATAGACATTTGTAGTAGTTATGTCAATAGTCGATATTCTATGTGAACATGAAGGTTGAATAATATTTGTTTGCCTCTTTCGATAATTATATATTTTGACTAGAACATAAACTAGTTTAGGACATATCCATTTAAGAAGAATGGCCAGACCACCTTGAAAACTAAGCAGAAGAGTGATTAAATAGAGTAAATTAAATCGTTGAATATAGGTATAAGAACAAGATAAGGGTAAACATTTTTCAAAATAAGTTGTATAATTTATAGTTGTGTTCCATTCTTCGATAAATAGATGATCGATAAGTTCAGCCATCGTAGTATTAATAGAAAATCGACTCTTGTTGGATGGAATAATAGGATCGATACGAGCTTTGTAATTTGTATATTGTTGAATAAGATCAAGACATGATTGATTATAAAAACATTCGAGTGTTGAAGCCCGAAATGATTCGCTTGGTGTACAACCCATTTTTAAACCTTGAATCGGAACTTTTTTAGAAGAGTTGCTTTCAATAAAACTTGCTTGAGTAGTACATAATGGAGATAATCCACAAGAACATTCATCATCATAAATTATAGCTTTAGTAAATAAATGAGTCGAGTATGGAAGTTCATAATCGATAATATACTGAAAATTTGTTCCATACTTTGATATAATGGCATTTCCATGATTTATATTTCGAATTAAGAAAAGAAAATGTCCGAGTGCTGTAGGAGCATTCGATCGACTGAGTTCTATCTGCGAGTTGACACGTGCATTGAAATCCTTCTTTGATAAAAGTTGAGTTGTAATTAATAATGAAGAAAGAAATTGATCGATTGTATTAGATACTGACTCAATTGAAATATTACATAATCCTTGAAGAAACTGTAAGTGAGCAGAAAGAAATCGACGATAGTCTCTTTGATCATAGATAGAAAGATTAGAAACAAGACCAGCTGTGAGATTAATGTACCATTCATTCGAAGCGAATGGACTCGAGCATACCTAGAATTGACGACAAAGAAAAAACTCGGTTTTAGATATTATTAAAGAATTTTATAATTACTAAAAAACTATTATGCTATTTTGATTTCTTCATTAGATAGAATCTGTTTTTACTTACTTCATGAAATCGTGCATCAATTTTAACAAATTCATTGTATGTTGTTGCAATAGATGAACATGGACATTCCAGTGCATTTTCTTGATCACGTTGAAGCTTTTCGTATAATTTAAAAGATGGGTCTTTGTATGTTTTTGTCAAAGTTTGAGATTGAATTATAGCATATAAACCAGGAATACTAAGACCAATAATAAGCAAACCAATATAAAGACGAGTGGCCCATTGACCAAGACGTTTAGCTGCCATTCGATCGATACTACTGCTAAAATCTTGCACAGTAAATAGATTTAGATTCATCAAAGTTTTGTGCAAAAATATAATTATATTTCGTAGTTTCATCTTCAATCTGTCGAACAATTTTGGACGAACTATGAAGAAAAAAACAAATATTTTTCATATATTTTCGATTATCATTAAGTAAATGACAGTATTAGTATGAGATTGTCTAATTCATCAAAGGGTGCAGATGTGGATGCAATGGTGTAAAGAAAAGGCAAATCCATCCACATCATCTTGAGGACGGATATAGATAGTCATCTACATTCTCACTCTCAAATTCACTTTCACATATTTTTATCAGTGAATCTGATAATCAATTGTAGATGTTATTTAAGATTACAGAGAAGTCCTTTTTCTCTTATATAAACTGCATCCATAATAGTTTTATGACGAATGAATTATTTATTTAAATATATTTGATCTATAATCATTACCTTGCTGAGGTTGTTTTTCTTTTTTTTTCTTGTTCAACGTCAATAGCCAATAGAAAAGCTTGACCAATTGAGGTGTAATGAGACGCAATGCAACTGTAAGACCCCCAATTAAAGATACCAGTGTTGTTATTACTCCCATAGTGTTTTTTGTGCGAATGTTCTTCGAATAAGTGCAATAGCTTGGTGCACATGATTCATAAAATGGTTCGTATATATATAACGGATTCCACTGTTCTATCATTAATTCCTTAACTATTTCTAAAACTGAAGTATTTGGAGGATATTTGCTCAATGTTGGATTATAAATCAAAGGATGAAGATGATAATGATTCCCACCAAGTAGAAAACTGACTAGATTTGGAAAACAATCTGAGTCCACATATAAACATTGAAGTGTGGAGTAAAGAAGCGAATTAATAATAAAACAACCTTTAACTATGCCTGGTATTATATAAACATAACTGTTAGTGACGTTCGTGTCTTGGTAAATAAAAGCCGAAGTTTGACAATGAACATTAGTAGCACAATCACAATTGATCAATGTGAAATTTGCATAATAAATTTCAGTGAAAAGAAATGATGCCTAAAGGTGAAAAAAAATTATTTTCTTAATAGTCAGATATGCGAACTTATTTCATTTTTCACAGTTGAAAACCTTTTCAAAAGAAAACAACTGTCCGAAGATCTTTTTCTATCAAAAATAAAAGCTTATAAAAATTGTCTTAACAATTGATTATGAATTATTAATTCTTATTATTCTATATTACTTTATCATTGTTCTGTTTTTATTATTTCTACATATACATTCTTCTCTATTTTTGTTGTCGCTAGTCATGTGTTTAATTATATATTACATCTGGACGAATTTGATTCTTTATTTCAATGAAATGTAAAACACTTATAATAGTAAACGCTGAAAACTACAAATCACTTATTTGATACTTTCTGTGTCAGTTTTATGCAAGTTGTCATATCTGTATCATAGAATTATTTAACTATTTCAAAATCGGTAGTCTTCACAGTTTAATATAAACGAAACGTACTAGAGTCAACTAAACTAAATAAGTAGAATATTTCGAAAACGAACAGAAAATTATCAAAGATTTCAGAAGAATCCAGACAGTACCAGAAGTTTTTATTTTTAAAGTTGATTTTACTGTTACCATGCGTCTTTCTCATTACAAGGAAGCGTTGTCTTGAGTATATTATTCTGACCATCGCTAGCACGGATATGTACTCGCTAGTTTTTCTTAAGTAAAATAGATATGAGTTTTAAGATTCATGAAATCGACTTTCGAAAGTAAATGAATTTCATCGAAACTGATTCGTACATTTATACAGTGTTATGAAAAATCATAACAGGCAAAAGCTTCTCAGATTCTTTCTACGAAGTAAAACGTTTGAGTGAAGCCGTGAGTACTTTGAAAATTTAATCCAACCTATTCTATCATCTACAAAAGTTACTAAAAATTTTAGCATATATGCTGATCCTCTTTTAACTCACGTCAGTATTTTCTTCTTGTTTTCATTTACTTCAAATCATTAATGTTCATAAAACATTGTAACATTATGTACACAGCAACTTATTCTATAGCTAGTAAAAAAACTCTCATAATTATATTTTTTAATTTCTCATTTATTCACTAGTATAATATAGTATTGCTAATAGAATGTAAAAGAAACGTTTTATTAATTGAAAAAATAATATTACCGGTGATGGTTGTCTATTGTATACTGAATTTACTATATTTTTGTCTATGATTAGATTTACAACATTGTTGTTGGGCCCCGTTGCTTTTCCTGTATAAGGTTGATCAATTTGTACAAAGAGACGTTGTATGTCAACTGCAAGACGAAAATCGACAATTGTCGATCGATAAAATTGATCGAGAGTCACGTTTGTTTGTGTATTAAAATCATTTTTATTAAGCATGTTTGAAATAACCATGGATCCCATGATAAAACGATGAACGGCAGCCGTGATAGTCTCATTAGCTAGTCGACAAAAGTTCATCAACAACTGAAAATGTGAGAATGCTCGATCAGTCCAATCACTATGTTTGTTCCTAACTACTACCTTTTCTTTCAATGCTGAAAGAAAATCGTCATGAACAAAATCACTGGAACATACTTCATGTAAAGTTGGAGACAATGACATAAACTTATCATAACGTATTGCTGTATTAGAACAAAAACATTTGAGTGTGTTCGGATACATAGCTTGTAATTTGTCATAAGTCAATAAAGATGGATTTGATTCAGTTATTGTAACTGTTTGAGTACTTAGGGATGTAAAGATAATAAGAACCAGAAATGAGGCTAGTGAAATAAAAATAAGAAAATGATGTTTTCATACAAATATACTTTCAATAGTACGATTTTGTCTAAGACTGACTACACTTAGTCTAATGAAAATAAATTCAATTTTATGAAATTGGAAGTTATATGAACATAGTGAAAGAATTCATAATTTAATAAATATATATTTCAACTAAGATGAGGATGAATGTGAATGAGAATATTATATTTAACATTCGATAACATAGTACCTAAATACTTTTAACGAATAAACTTATTTTTATCTTATACAACAATAAATATATGTAGAATGAAAATAACTGTACCGGTTAATAAAATCAAATAAACATATGTGGTAATCTTTTGTTGTTTAATGCTATTTTCTGTTCGATCGTCAGCCATCTTAAACAAGTTTAACCGTTTCGCTGATTGACCCAATCGATTTAAAGAGATCTTATAAGACCCTACAAATTATAAATAGAAATTACATTAGAGATAAGATTATTTTAATTCTATTGAAAACATACACAAATGAACACCTCTGTTTCTTGAACAACAATCGAACTTCATTGACATATTGACTAAGATTGGTGTAATTAAACGAAGTATGATAATGAGACCACCATAGATACTGATAAGAAGAGTAAATGCATAAGAAAAATTAATTTGATCAATTATGGTATATGTGCAAGATCTCGGAACACATTCATCATAGTATTTCGAATAATTTATATTTATTGACCATTCATCAATGAAAAGATTAAGTAAATGATCATACACAGATGTATTTTGATTTGGTGGAACGAGAATAGAATCCATTAAGGATACATTCGACTAAACAATAATAATCTTTAGTTGAAATAAAATAACATTATACATACTTGATTAAGAGTTGGAAAATAATCAATCAATAATTCAACACATTTAATATCATATAAACAGTCGAGAGTGTTCACAAGAAGACCTTCAACAGGAGTACATCCAGCAAAAAATCCTTCAAGAGGAGTACATACAATAGAAGAAGTAAATCCAATAAAAACTCCTACATCATACATAGAATCGACACATTGTACAAGATCGTCTCCCCCAGTAATCAGGAGTAACTCGCTTGGGTATAAGGCAAAAGAAGTTGTAACAATTGGATTATCTGTTTCACAAGTCTCGGGACTTATGTGGTCGTAACGAAACCTATTTAAATAATACAATATATATACATAGATAAAGTTAACAAAAGATTTGAATATTTTTTGTTGATATTTTATGTAAAACTGTAACATTATTTTTTTCGTTGATTCTTCTCAATGATCATATTTTCAAATGATTTCATTATATAGTTATGATTAATATTCAAATGAAATTGTAAACTACTTCACAAAACTCTTCATTACAGCCTATGCAATTGTTCACTATAAATCACTTATTTCCAATAATTTTTGATTCCTCTTTCAAACACTGAAGTCTTAAAAATAGAGAATCTAAGAATTTTCAGTTGTTTCCGTATAACCAAAACACTTAGATAGAGAGATTTATTCTGTTTTACCTTTCCAATTTGTTGATAGACAATAATGTGAACTTGGATTTATTCGAAATAATGAAGAAAGTTATCGGTCCGTAGAGTGTAATATACATTATATGAAATGTGAATAACGAAGAAGAAAGCAAATGTTATCTTAATAAAAAAATCATATACTAAAGAAGCAAGACGTATAGTGTATCGAAGATAGTTGTCCTCTAATCTTATTTACTGTTAAGCTAAGAATACAGTGAGTGTGGATGTGAAGAAAAGAGAAGAGAAGCTCTCACACGCACACCCTTAAAAAAGTCGACTGTATTCACCCTAATTCCTGTCCTCTTCACTATTTGGTTGAAAATTCCTTTCTCTTTCATCTCGTTAATATCACCATTAGGTACAGAATTGAAGTCTGAATCAGGTTCAGTTTCATCAACAAGAAATATTCGAATTCGCTACTCACTGTCTCACTGGGTAGCGCTCCATGTCTATATCGGAACTATTAGCGAAGACCGAAGCTATAATTAATAAGTTTGTATTGAGAGCTGAAATATGATAATCTGCTTGAGTATTCGTTCTAAAATAGTTCAACAACGAAATAATTCGAAGAGATGAGCCATTCTTAAAAGATTCAATGGTAGTATTGACTTGTATATGAACTTGTTCTTCGGAAAGAAGATTAATACTAACAAATTCATTCTTGTCAATATCAATACGATTTTGCTGAACTATTTGGCCAGAGAGTAAACAAAATTTGGCCAGAAGTTCGAACTGAAAAAGAAAATCAATTAAAATAATGAACTTTGAATATATTATTTACGATAGATTAAGTGGATATATCATTATCTTATTGAAAATTCTGATAATTTCTATTTTTTCTCTAAACATTTATCATCGCAAGATAATTCATAAACAAAATAGCTCAATTTTAAATAATCTTACAGATTAATCGTTCCAGTGCCTTAAATATGTTTTGCTGAGGTGACGGTATAATGCGGATGTCTTTTCTTATGGCATACCTATATCCTGTCGTATATACTATTTTTTAATGAAAATTGCAGAATATCCCAGAAAGTTCTCGATGGACGGCTGTATATCTCGATCACAGATAGTTTCATAAGATTCTACAATATTCTCTACTCCTTCATTCCGAAAGGTAATGTACTAATTTTTTTAGAATAACTGTGAAAAATTGTTCTAAAACATGTGTATTTACGTTACGAAATTGAATCGCAATAAAGTAATGAATACTAATTATATAGATGCTAATTGAATAAGTACTAATCAGATTAAGATCCTAAGATTTGTTAATCATTCATTACTCGAAATTCTATATGGAGATTCAATTTGATTCATTGAAATCAATAGAAAAACATGATTTTATTAACAAAATAATTTTTATACTTAATAGAGATCAATAATTAAGACTGATCTTTAATGTTTATAGATATGATTTTCATTCGTAATTAAATCGGTGTTTTGAAAATGAAACGGACTAACCTGAGAATTAGCTGTTGTTCGGAAATCCTGCGCTCTATATTGACTTCCATTTGACAAATACAATGCTTTTATCCATTTTTCAGTAACGAAAATGCTCGAACAAACCGGATGAAATGTGATTTTATGCGAAACAAAACTTTCATAAGGCAATGTTACTTTCGAGCAGGGGCATTTAAGAGTTTTTGGATATTTAACATAAAGTTGATTGAAAATACCAGGAGTAATGGATGATTCAGTGATCGTTCGAGATTGTGGCTTGATCAAAGCAATGTAAAAAAGTATATATATAGACACTGAAAACAAATAAAGAGACATAAATATCGATAGAATTATTTTCTTGCGAATCTTTCGAATCTTTCGATAAACAATTATATTTAAATTTACTAGAACTTGAAAAATATAGAATAATAAAGTACAAGGAATAACATAATAGTGAAAGTTATTCAATAAGATAAATAAAATCTGTCCCTCATTTTCAAAAGGATTTATTAATTAAAACTACAATTTTATAGTTTCAACAACTAAATATGTATTATCTTCAACGGGGAAAAAGCGATACTTCCGTACTCCCATTGTACTCCCATCATACTTCCATTGTACTTCCCTGTACTCCCATCGTACTCCCTTATACTTCCATGCTACTTCTCTGTACTCCCATCGTACTCTTCTGTACTTCCATCGTACTTCAAAAAATTTTTGAAGTAGATGAAGTCTCGCTTTTCCCCCTCTTGATTATTCTACACGCATCAACTGGCTGGTTTAGAATAAATATGAAATCTACATTTCATTGCATTCTTATGAGAAGAAAATAAAAAGTTTTTTAAAGCTAATAATAAATATAAAGAGAAACAAATAAATAATTTCACGTGATAACTACTGTCTTTCACTTTTGCATTTAAGTGAAAAATTTAATTTTTCAAATTTTCTGCAGTTTTGAATGTGGATGGAAGTGGGTGTGGCCGAGAGTATTCTATTCTCTCACCCACCTATATCCTATGATACAAACATAATACTCACTTCCATACTTTACTTACCCACAAGAAACAGAATATACAACCAGGTAGTATACTTTTGCCTTTTGAGAACAGTTGCTGGTTCTTCTTGCTCATCATCGTCATCATTATACTCATTATCTTCGAGCATGAAAAGATTATAATTACGTACATTATTATATAGCCATCGAGATAAAATTTTGGGATGCATCCTTGAAAGAATAACTGTAATCAAAGAATTAATTCTTTGAACAATTAAATGTTTATATTACAACTTGACTAATAATGGTAATATTGTGTTCTAGAAGAGAAACGTTTATATTCTACAGCATAACATTAACAACTGATAATAAAATCAACATATGAGTATACAACAATTGATTACAAAGCTGAAAAACAAAATTATCTAAAAAGCTACATTAATATTGCTGAGAAAATGATTTAGAGAACAATTATCAGATATGAGTATAAACATGAATATTTAGCGAAGTTTTCTACTCTTGTATGGAACTTTAAACAATAGCAAGTAATATTTGCTTTAGAAACTTGCCATTATCTGTATAATTTCTTCTTATTATGGCTTTGCCTATTGCGGTTGGCAGTATTTACAATAAGTACAGTTTTTATATTTTCACAACATTTGTGTTATTCAAAAGGTGAATATTTAGTGGTGACGCCGAGGGTGGCCTGGACGGGGCTGAGCCTCCCTAGAAATCATTCGAGCCCCCTAGATTTTTTTAAATTCTCGTAAAAAAACTAATGATTCTCTCACAAAAATATAAAATTCGGAGATTGAGGCCCTCCCTTCTCTAGGAAATTTTTTGGGGGGCTCAGCCCCCTAAAGTAAAAATTTTGGCGCCGTCTCTATGAATATCGTCACCTAGTTTTTATTTAATAACAAGACATTCTACTTGTGAATCCTGTGAGATGCATCTTCATCTTTCATGTACGGGACTCACTTTCGCACTGCTCTATGTGAATTCGTTAGTTGAGTCGAAAGAGAATTTTATGAAAATTAAGAAAAAAAAAGTCATATTTCTGATAAACATACGACGAAATTTTACACTGATTGGTTGGCATAGCACTCACTTCGCATTAACACGAATACGTCTTTCATTCCTAGAGGATGCGGTTGTGGGCTTGGATATGAGACAAATATAATACCCCCAGTATACTCACAACCCCTCCTCTTATGCAAATCTAAATATGTTTCCAATTTGTTTTTCTTACTTTTTATTTATTTCTTATTTTGCATACTCACAGTTATGAGGATATACTGTCCCTTTAGAGCAAGAGAGGACATGTGAGTCAGGTGTCGACAGCACCTCGGCATCTGCTCAGTTCCTTGGTAATTTGCAAAAGAGAGTGGCTGAAACTGATTGAGAGTTGATGAAAATTTATAGAACATTTTGGGGTTGGTTAAGACAGATTTTGGGGAGATGGAAACGGTTCGAAGTGGATGAAACATGTTGAAGGCAGAATAAAGTAGGCGAGGGTGGGTGAAGTGGATAAAACAGATTGATCTAGGCGAAAGTGGGCTGGGGTGGGTGCAATAGGCAGATGATGGGTGGAAATGCATAATCTTGATTTGCAGGGGATGAAGGGTGTGGGTGCGGGTGTGGGTGTGCAATTCTTATTTGCTTGTCATACATATCCACACACAAACTCAGACTTACATCTATATCTACATCCACTCACACCCTCAAGATGGATTGTTGGAAGTTTTTGGCTTATTAAAAATGAAATACGTCTTTAAAAAAGGATTTAAGCCATGAGCGTATAGCACTGGTAGTGTTTTCGATTTATGAATCACTATTAGCTCAATTTACTTCGCTATCTTACTAAGTCTATTATGAATTGCTGAGTTTCTCTTGTCGTAATACTACGAGTAAAAAGCGGATCCTGGATCCACCAGATATTAGAATGGATTCTGATAAATCCTATGTGATCCCAACAGATCCTGTATAACCTCATGGTTCCTAAGACACTTGAAAGTAATCAGGAGCCAGTCAAGAATCCAACACAATCTATGAGGATCTATGAGAAACTCATAAGACATATAGGGAACTTGTAGGATCTATGAAGGTATTGTGGCATCCCGAAGCCGCTTTTCTCTCCCAGTAATAAGATTTAAATATATGTCATAAATTTCAATTCTAAATCTATGTCTGCGATGATCTCTAAGAATGCGTTGTGAAATTGTCTATCGTGATCTGTCATGCCGCCTTGAGGGTGAGGGTGGATTTCAGTGTAGCTGCTTTAGTTCATTCATCATGCAGACTCATTCTCACACGGGTTTGGGTGTAGGTGTGGCTGTGTGTGTAGATGTGGGTGTGGGTGTGGGTGTGGTTGATGAAAACCCAGACGCAGATCAACGCCCACACC